TGTTCATGGCAAAAACATATTTTTCAGACCAATAGTTGTTTATAAGTGCCACCATCAATGGAAGTGCCTACATGACACAAACATTAGTTTGTCTGTCCAGCTTTCCTTAACAAAGCTCGCCTCCACCAAAAACATGAATCCGATCATCTTTTTTCGTTGACAGACATGTTTTTCTGCTTTTTTTTCTGGCCAACCATTCCAGTAAGCATAAATCTTTTTTAAAACTTTTTTAAAACACCATTAAGCACTAAAAAGTTCATAATAGGTAAGACCATAGACAATTGCAACTTATGAACGATACTAAAGACATGAATAAACCAAGTGAGAAAACTTTCTGAAGTTTGAATTTCTTAGAAGTTTATTGCCAAGGACATTTACCTGCCCAAAGACATATCTTCAAAAACATCAGGATAATGAGGCTCTATTTCAGAAATATATGGGTTTGCCAATATGAATTCTACTGGACTGTGTTTGATTTACTCTAGACTAGATAGCTTTCTCTGTGTCTCCTTCAAGCTTCTGTCACTCTGCCTTGCAGCCATTGCATTATGAAGAGAAGAATTGGTGTGAAGAGCAGTACTCCGGGGGCTGCTACACAACCTACTTCCCTCCTGGGATCATGACTCAATATGGAAGGTAGAGTAAAAGTGTGCTAAGCTGTGACTGAAATCCCCTGCACCTCAATCCAGACTCTATATAGGTTCAGGTAGCTTCTCTTCCCTGTTTCTTGTAAATACTGACAAAAAAATTTTCCAATTTCCTTTGTACCTTGTGAATGAAGTCATTATAATTATGTACCATGATGCTGCCTTTCACTCTTACTTGCTCTGGGGGAGAAGTCTCAGTTGATACAACCAAAGAAAGTTGCAGCATAAGAATAGTGATAAAGATAGTCAGAGAGTTCACTTATATTGTCAGCAGAAGTTTAGAACTCAGTGAAACATCCCAAATGCAACTGGGTAAGTGCCAACATGGGTACAGCATTATAAAAGCAAAATGAGTTCTAGATTGGGTGTGAAGGGACTTGGGTTACAGTCCCGGTTCTACCAATAACCAACTTTGTCATCTTGGACAGGTCACTGAACCTCACTTTCCTTAGGAGGTGGATGAGAAAGCACAAGATGGTGTATAGTGGGCAATAATGAATATGTTAGTGAGAGTATGAGTTATTTTTTAACATCCTTATCAAGATATAATTCACATACCATATAATTCACCCATTGAAAGTGCACAGTTCAATGGCTTAGTATTCACAGCATTGCACATCCAAGCATGACTCATTGATGTTTAACGAATTGTATTTGATGACAATAAGAAGGTATGAATTAATGATATAGCAGTAATTTTTATGAGTATTATAGTATTACTAAACCAAGGAATAATTTAATGCTAAGAGCTCAATCTAAACAGAATAGGAAATGTAGAATAGTGAGTGAAAGTCTGTTGAGAGTATGCAACAAACAGGGTGTGAATAAATAGAAACGGCTAATCAATCTGTCCATGGAAACTGGTGAAACAAAGATTAAAACCCGCTTATCAGAAGATACATAATGACTTTGGTTAGCACTTTCCTTATCTTCCCGAAGATGGCAGAATATTATCCAAGAGAACGTTCTGGGGTCAAAGGCACCACCTGATAAGCCACTGGTCATTAAGTTAATTTTCAGATATACTGAGTGTAGAATATGTCAGTAGTATTTGTTTCATTCAGCTCTTAATGGCTAAGTGCCAACCATTTGCCAAGCACTTTACTGGAAACTTTAGTACTGAGCACGTTCCTCCCTGTTGAAAAGGAGCTGACAGTGTGGAGGGTCAGAGTGGGGATGGGCAGAGGACACAATGTCAAAAATTGACTTTAATGTACTGAGGGAAGAGCTCTAATAGAGGTTCATAGAAATACCATGGAGATACATAGAGGGACAGTCTAGCCTTACCTAGAGAGTTCTGGAAAGGCTTCATAATGCACCTGAGGGTTGTAGGAGGCAGAGAAAGGCTACTGGGGGATGTAGTCTAGGCAGATGAGATAATATGAGCAAATATTTGGAACCCTACAAGTTCCTGGAAGGTCTGGGGAAAAGCTCTACATAGATCTTTCAACAGAGAACAGCCATCATTGCATTGCCTTCTTTTTGGCCTTGTCTTAAATAAAATATGATGTGATTAGATTTCTGACCACAGAGTGGCAGGTTTTATGCTCAATCCCAGGAAAATGTCTTTTGGGGTGGGGAGCAAAAGTGACACTCACGTGCACTGGCCTGATCCTGACCACATAAGAGAAGCAAGATAAAGCCCGTCCTATCAGGCATTGGTAGTGAAATGGTAACATCCTCTTTCATCTTTATTCCTTCCCAAGGACATATGTCAGGTTTCATATCACTGCCTTCAATTTGTAGGGTAGAAACTAAGGCACAGCATAGCTTAGTGACATAACCCCCAGCCTGAGTAGAGACTGCCTCACCACAGGGCCTCCCTTGACCCTTCAGGGCTGTGACATTTGGACTACTGCAAGGAGTTTCATCCTCGGGGCCCTGGAAGTACACAGTAAACGTTCTGCTTCCAGAAGGAAGAGAAAGGACAGAATTTGTAGTACAACTTTAGTAAAGAACTAAATACACATTTCTTAAGGAATTTTTCTTCTGGATAGAGTGAAGAACTGATTATAGTGATTATGCATAAGACACATAAGCCACAAGAAATATACATGGAGCTGTCTTTTATGATATCCTATATCTTTTGTGAATATATACTGTCTGCTCACTCACCTACAAAAGAAGGGGCAGGGATTTTTCTTATCTAGCTGTTGGACCTTTTTTTTCCCCTGTAGGAAGACAATTTCCACAAGTGGAGGGATGATGACAAGTGCAGGGAAACTATTTCTTTGTCTGCTTAAAATTAATTCTTGGTTTTTACATTTTTATATTCTAATTGTTAGCATGATTAGTTCTCTAAGCCTTTGTTCTCTCTTCTAATATTTCACTCTAGGGTTTGGCCAGAACTCCCAGAGGTCTCCAGTTGGGGTTAGTTTCCTCTGTGAAAAATGGAGAAAATAAATCCAGCTTCTCTTGCAGGGGATGCTTCCTGAATCCCCTTAGGCTCTTGATAATTCCAGATTTATTTCACGTATCTTTATCAGTATACTCATGTAGATGCTTCTTGACATACAATGGGGTTACAGACTGATGAACCCATCCTAAGTTGAAAATATTGTAAGTTGAAAATGAACTTAATACACCTAACCTATTGAACATCACATCTTAGCCTAGCCTAGTCTACCTTAAATGTGCTCAAAAACACTTACATTAGCCTACAGTTGGGCAAAATCATCTAATGCAAAACCTGCTTTATAATAAAGTGTTGAATATCTCATGTAATTTATTGAATACCGTACTGAAACTGAAAAACAGAATTGTTGTGTGGGTACTCTAATTTCGGTTTCTACTGAATGTGAATCACTTTTGTACCAGCGTAAAGTTGAAAAATTGTAAGTCAGTGACCATCTGTTTTCTATAATATCTTTTCTTATATTTTCTTCTCCTTTTTTTTTTTTCTTGATGACTGCGATCATGACAGTCAAAGGAAAAGCCACCAATTCAGGCTGGCCTGTTTGGTTTTCTAATAAAAGGCCCAGAGGTGTACCATGTTGACTAAGATGGAGCAAGGGTGTTAGCTCTTGATAACCCTTTTCTGATATAGTGGAAACCTGGGATGGGATAAGTAATGGCACATTGACAGTGTTTTCCTTATGGTATTTTTGTTGGAGTAACAACAAACTGCTCCTCTTTCAGGCCAAGTGCTATGACACTTCTGTCCCTTGCATAGCATGTGGGCACTCTACTAACTAATGATGATGATACAACAGGCAAAGCATTTTGGATAAAAACAGAGACCGACATCTGGTAGACCTGGTTCAAATCCTGGCTGTTCTATTTTGTAGCAGTGTGGCTCTTGGCAAATCACTCGCTGTACATTTCTCTGAGCTTCACTTTTTTCATGTGTAAAATGAGAAAATGATAATAATAGCTGTATCATAAAGTTCTTAAAAAGACTGAATAAATAATTCAGTAGAGAGAAGAAGTATAACTAGGTGGTTAAGCCTATGAGTTCTAGAGTCACATTGCCTGGGTTCAAATACCAGCTCTGCCACTTCCTGTCTGTGACCTAGAGCAAATTACTTTGTCTTTGTTGTTTGTTAGGTTGACTCTGAAACAATGATTAGCAGACAGGATATATATTAGAGTGTGCCCTTGGGATTGACACCTGTGGAAGTGGGGACAGGAAGCAAGAGTG